ATGGCACAGGACTATGCAGCCACCACTTGTGACAGTTTTATTGGCATTCAGGTCATTTACATTTATTTGTCTTTTATTTTTGAAAACTGCCCTGCTGGTCAATTGATATTTTATAAAATCTGTAGAAATGAGTCTCAGATCAGTTTATTTATGCAATAGTGATGTTTCTGCCTTTTACACATGAAACTCAAATCAGTCCATTACACCAGCATTAATACGAGGCAATCATTTGAGAGACAATAGCAGATGTATCTCTCACCTCGATATCCTCCTGCCCGGGCATAAAGATGAGGATGTCTCCCACTAACCCACTGAGGTGGATCTGCAAGGCCTGTTTCACTGCTGCCTCTACATAGTCCTCCTGGGGTGTCTACACAGCACACAAACCAACAAACCAGTCAGAGACTTTTTTTTACTCTTTTAGGCCAAAAGTTAGTTTTACTTACTTATGTCTGTCACATATGTTAAAGATTTCATTACAGTCTATGTCCATATTTTGAAAAAATATATGAGTGTTATTAAGATGGCCTCAGAATCAGCAATCCCTGAACTATGGAATAATATAGATCTTAAGTAGTGCAAGTGCATTAAGTGAAAACAGAAAGGAAACATAAGCATACCTTGCTAAATAAGATGTCTACAGGAAATGTTCTTCCTGGAATATGGAATATGGGTACATTGCCAAAAAATGCTGCAAACTTGTCTGAGTCCATCGTTGCAGATGTAACTATGAGTTTCAGATCAGTACGTCGAGATACAACCTGGTAGGAGACAAGTGACAGAAGTGACAAAGTGAGAGTAAATTGTGTGCATGACACTGATGCCCATTTACACTGAGATCAGAAAAGGAAGCTTCAATAAACTTACACAGTATGTGTGTTTGGAAATAACAAAAAAACAACCTCCCTTTAGTGGGTGTTAGATGTGTACTGACCTCACGTAGCAGGCCAAACAGCACATCAGTATTCAGGGAGCGTTCGTGAGCCTCATCCATGATAACAGCACTGTAGTGGTCCAGGTCTGATTCCCTCAGTGACTCCCTAAGCAGGATGCCATCTGTCATGTACTTTATCAGTGTGTTCTCAGATGTGCAGTCCTCAAACCGAATAGCATAGCCCACCTGCAGTCAACATTGTTAGTCAGCAGTCAAATAAAAGAATTATGTAAAAGCCTTTATATGCTTTCTAACAAATATTATTGTCATGCACAGAGATTACAAAAAAACTAATTATACCAATTTAATTATTATCAAATATTATTTAAATATATTAAAATCAACATGACTAATATCAGTGTTTGCTGTAACAGATCACGTTTTGACAACCAATACTTAATATTTAAAATACTGCTGTGTTCTCTTTACCTTTAAATCAGTTCAATCTCTGCCAGACCTCAGCAACACATCATACATTTTACTCTTGTCCACGAGATGGCGGTGTTACACAGCATATAACTGACTATTATGTTTGTGCAACAGAGCCTTCAGACTGGGCATCACACAATATGTTAACTACTACGGGCATAAATCAGCAGTCTCATCATGATACTATTCTATATTGATTCTCTATGCCAGCGATCCGATGTTTGCTGACACTTAAAAATATGCCACGACGCAATCTTGATTCGATTCAGGGGCCAGCGGTTGATATCAAATGATAAATATCATGTGCCTATTTCACCAAAATTTTATCACCAAAAAATGTCTATTCTCTTTTAAAAGTAGACTGCCATGTTTGAATACACATATAAAAAAAAGTACAAATCCCACTTTTATGTAGCTTTTCCTAATTGGTTTTGTTGTCGTTTTCTCCTTGTTCTGCAATTTGCTAAATAGATCTGACCTTAATGTGCACCCATGCATTGGATATATAAATAATAAAATTAAAAATAAAGGTTCAACTTGAAGAGTCTCAGTCGGCTGACAGGTCTCATGACTAATAAACCGAATATTAGGGGGCAGCTCTACTCAGATTAATACTTCGAACATTATCTTTCCATCCACAACTAATTATTTCATACTAGACCCTCATTATGTTTTCACATTTGGATATAAAGTGGTACACAGAAGCACAGTGCTGGCTAGCACTGGAAGGAATAAGCATTCCCAGTTGCAGTTTGTTTGCTCAGTATTAAGCCATCTGTCTTACCTCCTCTCCAAGGTTGGTGCCAATCTCCTCACTGACTCTCTTGGCTACACTCATGGCTGCCACTCTTCGGGGCTGAGTACAACCCACCATGCCATAGCTGGTGTAACCATCCTCATGCAGGTACTGAGTCAGCTGGGTGGTCTTCCCACTGCCCGTCTCCCCAACAACAATCACAATACTATTGTCCCTGCAGACAGCAATAAACACATTGAAACAGTAAGCTATAACTCAGTCTCACTGTAAAACACCTTTTAGGTGAACATTAGTAATTAAAAATTGTTTTGAGAAGTGCAACAAACACAGTCTTGATATCAATACCTTATTATGTTAAGAAGTTGTTGTCTGACAGCAAAGATAGGCAGGTACTGTCTCTGCTCCAGAAGGCTCTTTTTCTTAGCAAACTCACTGTTGGCCTCAGTCTTCTCTTTCATGTGATCTGCAAATTTCTGCTCTGCTCTGTAAAAATCACCAATAAAAATGTACATGACAGGTCAGACAAACTGGATCCACTAGATCTGTGGATTATTAATACAATCTATATGAAATGGATCCACTAGATCTGTGGATTAATACAATCTATATGAAATGCACTAGATCTGTGGATTATTAATACAATCTATATGAAATGCTATCTAAATCCCGACTTTGCAGAGGCAGTCTGGTCACCTGTAGTCTACTTTGCCATCTTCGCCCACTGGTTTGCCCCCAGACATGTCTTCCTCCTCAGTCTTCTTGATCCCCATGATATCCCCCAACTTGGTGCCTGCCAATTCCCAGTGTTTGTGCTGTGCCTGAAAACATAATTATTCCAATTAAAGCTTCAATTTGTAACTGCACAGATTGCAATCTCATGCAGATTTAACGTACACAGAAAAGATAATAGAGCAGCTGGTGCCACATTTGTCAAATTGCGTCACCTTCCTGATCGTGATTTGCATTGAAAATGTCATCAAATGACCAGGTAAGGTGACCGTGAATAAATTATTTACCAAAGTGATGAAGTTAGACAGCAGTGGCATTATCAACTGGACAGATGCACACCAAAAACCCCATTAACATTTCTCAGCATCAGAGTATGAAGATCATGTCTGCTTTGTTTTATAGTCCTGCAAACAGATGGATATGACACTGATATAACAGTTTAAAATCCTTACTGGTTTTAACTTTAAACATATAAATCTATGACAGTAATGGGTGTGCATCCTTTCAACACTTTAATTAATAATAGAGGAATTATGTTATTTGCACCACTCTCACACAAAGCAAATCTTAAGCAAAATAATGAACAACCTGCATTACACCACACATGCCCAACTACTGGGCACTTTTCTGTTGTTCACTGTCCTTTCTGCACAATTTTAATTCTGTATATATTTAGCTACTGAACCATGTAACACATACCAGAGCTTGTACAATTCTGTAGAGTTTAAAGGGCTGTAGAATTGGAAATTATTATTATTTCTGTCTGAGATGTCCAGGACTAGCCACTAATATATTACCGCCATTGTAATTTTATAGAGAATTATACTAACCCAAGACCTGTCCTGTAAATATGCATTATAGAAAAAGGTAGAAACTCAAACCCATTCAAAAGCAAACCCAGTCCCTGTATCTGTTTAAAAGTTTTACTAGTAAATCCAGCTTACCTTCTTGCGTTCTTTCTGCTCACGATGTTTACGGACAAGCTGGCTGCCCTTTCGAGAGATGATGGCCATGTCAGAGGTAGCATCTTTCACAGGGATGACAGGCTCTGGCTACAGCAGGAAAACAAATACATGCATAGATTAAATAAAACAACCTTCCTAGAGTACAGTTCTTACAAAAATATGATATGTAAGGCACTAAACATCATTCAGTATTCAAGTCCTTGTCACCTGTTTAGTGAAGACTATTCTTCCATCCAGAAAGGGAGGGACCAGGTTATGAACCAGCAGGTGAACCTTAGCAGCGTTGTCCTCCTCAAAGTCCTCATCCACCTCCAACCTCTGCACCACACCACTGGTCAGCATACGGTTGGTCTCCCACCGCTCGTTATCCTGAGACAAGAAACACAGCCTGTTACCAAGACACATCAGTACACACAGATGCATTAAAAAGACAAATACACAATTAAACATAGACGCAGTCTATGTTTAGTTTATTCATTTATTTAACAGGGGCGATGCATATTAATTACATTTTTGTCAATACACCAGAGTTAGCCACAAAGGCTAATTTTCATCTGTAGCCCCTCTGTAGTCTGTGCATGCAGACATACAATTCTAACTAAGCTGATATGAAGCACAGTGGTTGTACCTCATTGATCTGTCGCTTCTGAGCTGATATTCTTTTCTGAGTCTGCTTCTGAAGTATCTGCTCTCTCTTCTTTATATAATCATCTGAGGTGGAAGTGAAAGGGTTGTGGAACTCATCAAAGCCTTCATCCATCATGTACCAGTCTCTGTCTGCTTGCTGCAAAACAGTGAGACAATAAGAGATGTTAAAAAAAAAAAAAAAAAACTCATCATTTTCATAGTTCATACGAGATAAGTGTACCACTCACCTTCTGGTCCTCCTCCCACTGTTCTTTCTCATCCTCATTATCAAACATAATTCCTCCCTCACCATCTTCTTTCCTACCTGAAGACAACAGAATAAAAAATGGTATGGGACATGCAATATATAAATCTTGCGTGTGAACAGAAAATGACCTGTTAGTACCTTTTCCTTGTGATAAACGAGGTGTAGAGCCCAAATGCCTTCTGTCATTGGCCCACTCATTGTACTTGTATGATGGAGTAGGCAAGGGTGTGTCGTCAGGGTAACGGCCTCTGACTGACCTAAGCACACAGCAAACAGACGTAATTAGAAAAAAATGATATGTAAAAACACATAATGAGTATAATGAAAATATTTTGCAATACAAAAATGCACAATACGCATCATGCTGAAAAACTTGGCCATTATCGTTACAAGAACAAGCTCATCATTTTTATTTTTCAAGTTTGTTTTATGTAGGTAAGGATCTGCTTGTAAAATGAGGTAGCTTATTTATTTAACTAGTGTCTATTATTTACATTTTGCACAAAAAATTATGAGAAATGCCTCAAATTAAAACAATGCTTTAACATATTGTATGCATTTTTTAAATTTTTGTCAAGTGCATTTAACCACTGTGTGAACCACAATTCTATGATAAGTTTTATGTACATTTTTCAAATCCATCTGAGACCGGGGGATAAAAATGTTAGGTAAACTGAATGATGATGTTGTTTACCTGTCCTTCCTCTCACTCTCTCGGCCAGAGCGATGACTTCGCTCTGAGCGATCGAGCTCTCTGTGAGACAGGGCCGGGGATGGAGCCTCCCACTGGGAATGCCGTGAACTGGCATAACCACTGTCATCCTCATCCCAGTTGGAGCGTGAGGGTGTGAAAGCATCTGTGTAAAATTAAGTCATCTTAGTGAAATGAAAGGTGGTTTTTACAGTTGCAATTATATGACAGTTCAATTATGATATAGAGAAATAAACAGACAAAACTACCTCTCGGGCGATGTTGGGGTGTCAGAGGTTCATCTCTCTTACTCCCCCGGCTGATGCGATCAGACCAGCCATCCCTCTGTGAGTGCTCACTCCTCTCACTGCGCTCCGACCGGCTACTGCTGCCACGACTATAACTGCTCTCCCGCTCATCTGACAGAGAGAGACAAGGGACATTTACTGTCAACTACCATGATACAAAAGAAAAGTCAAGCAGAACCAGCAAACATTTGGATAAAGAAGGCTGAACCCATGACCATAAGTCCACTTGCATTGAAATACAATTACTACAACATGACTGACTGATCATTCACCTCTTTCACTCCTTCGGTCTTTGCCCTTTTCTCTGGTCCTTTCTCTGTCTCTTTCTTTGTTCCTGTCCTCTTTGGAGGAGGCGTAGACTCCGTGCTCACGTCTGTCCTTCTCCCTCTGCTGGTGCCTGCGTCTGAACTCTTCACTGACCCCTCCAGGGTTTGAGGGCGTCTCAGAGCCCGTCACACGGTATTTTCTGCTAACAAGACAAAAACAAAAATACTACCCATTTAAACATACTATACACCACTGTATGGCATCCATAGATATGAGAAGAGGTGTTCCTTGTCTATTTGATATATTGTTGAAAATTCTGCATAATATATGTGTATGAAGCATTGACACTTACCTCTCCTTCTTAGCACCTCTATTTTTATCATCATCATCTTCTTCTTCTTCTTCTTCTTCTTCTTCTTCATCAGACCCAGAGTCACTTTTACCTTCCTCCCAGTCCTTGCAGGAGGAAACCTTTGACTTCTTTCTATTTCTGTCATTGCTGCTAGCATCTGGCTGTTCCTTATTGTCACGCTCCTTCCGTTTCTGGGCTGCCAGCAGATCCAAGCCCAGCAAAGATGTGCGTGGGGTGGGTGCCCGAAAAACATGAGGCTCTGCAACAGCACTCTTCTTCTTTACTATCAGTCCACCAACTTCAGCAGATGGATCAGTTCCTTCCAGTCTATGCATGGACACATCTTCATCCATTATCTGTGGGGAAATAAGGACATACGAGTCTAGGTGAAACTCAGTTCCCTTATTTTATCATTCCTGGGTCCTTGATTCTCACTCAGTTTCCCCTCAGTTTCTCCTTTCATCTTTTCCTTGCATATTACATGGGCAAGAATAAGACAAGGGAATGATGAGGGGAATTGAGATTCACCAGTTGATGAAAATATGTAGTGCTATTTGTTCAGGTGTTAGAAATTAATAAATCAGTCAGATAATTATTAGACATTAATGTGTTAGTAATGCAGTTTAGTGAGATTCAAAGTCTGCTCTAGTCTGCTTTGCTTCAAGGTTAGAAGACAATGTTGATTCTGAAAAGTGTACCTTGACACCAATTGTTTTCTTGTATTAGAATTATGTCTCAATGGATGTTTTAGTTACACACCACGTAACAACACACACACAGAGAATTCTTCATTTTGTTATGACTAGTGCTCGAAGCATGTGGAGCATAAGATAAGAGAAGGAGACGTCGGACTGTCTCCAACTCGTGATGTTTTTATATCCGTCTGTGTAAAGGGTTAGCCCAAAAACTTATAAATGTATTAGACTCTGCGTTTCCGGGAGCTCTCTCTTCTCCAGCAGCTTGTCTGAAGGAGGGAGCCACCCAGGTTGTCTCTTGTAATTTTATTTGTGGCTTTTAAATAAATCAGCACTAAAATGAAGAAAGATTGACTCCTTCCTTACTCAGATCTGTCCAATAAAAGAACTGGAGTATTATACAGGAAAACCCTCATAAAGACTAATTTCTCAATTATTCACTAACCAATGTTTTGAGCTTTGTACTCTTGGGCCTCTTTCAAACAGGGGCACAGTGATAGCTTTCATTATCAATAAGTCAGTTTTTTGTATGAATCGTTGGATTTGTAAAATCTCAGAAAACAACAATAAATGCCCTTCACAAGTTCCCAGAGGCAAGCAAGGCCTTCAGATTTCTTGTTTTGTCAACAGGACAAAACCCAAAGATATTCAGCAGCTCCATTTGTGACCTTAATATTTAGTACGTTAACTTACTCCCAACATCACACATGGGGCTAGGCTCTATAACAGTTGTCCAATACTAATGTTTTATGTCAATTTCATTGTAACGTTAGCTATAACGTTACATTTCTATATCAGCAGGTTCTGATGTTTTTCACAGAAGAAAACGTGCTAACAATCCTTACAACGCTAGAGCAGCTAACCGTGACTCACTAAAGAACTTGTAACTAAATTAACATATTTCCTCCTGCTTAATAATAGTTATATTAAATGAAGTGAAACCAATACGTACCTCAGATAAAACAGCTAACGCTAGCTAGCCCGGTTTCTCCTGACGAGGCCGGCGGCAAACTTCCGCCTGTTTCGTTCTTTCGTTTGGTGTCAAATACAAAAACTTTCACATCAAGCTAACGATTTAATATTTAATTCTACAAATTTTAGGTAAGTACTCCAAGAAGCGTGAGACCTTTGACTAGCACTGGAGAATATTTAAGTCGCTGCTTTCGTAAACACGACGCATATGTTTACACACAAGGGGGCGGCCATTGCAATCCCACAATTCTAAGGGGTGGCAGGAAATAAAATGTTCAGAACTTTATCATAACCAATTGTGTTAACACGGGAGAGTGAGAGAAGTGGAACTCCTGTAAACACATAGAATAAATACAGCAGGTGACGGACAGCGAATGTGAACAGTAAATATTAAAGAAAATATTTATTAAAGTCAAAAAAAGCTAAAGTACATCAACTGATTAAAACGATAAGTGTAAAAACCAGAAAAAGTCTAAACATGCTCTCAAAGTTTTCCAAACTAAATTCAGCACACAAGGAACCCTTGACACCCATAACTGCCAGTAAGTAATAGACAACAATTTTACAATGTTGCTGTATTTTACCATTTTGCAACATCAGCGTTTTGGACTACTTATTTTAATAAAGTGTTGACAGAGAACATCTATTAAAAACAACAATAACATATGTATTATTTCCCCAATACAAGTACCAGCCTTAAAGTCAAAGCGGTGTTTGTATTGGTTGCCGCTATTTTCTGGGGAATCTTGTGCTGTTCTGTCCAATGTGGGGTTTGGGGAGGAACAGGTGTGTGAGGGTATTAGAAGGGTAACAGGTGTGTGTGTGCGCCATTTGGCGCGGAACACGGGGTGCCGCTACTGCTTTTCTTTTACTATTCATTTTCCCTGTGAGCACACGGTGCCAGGTACATAGCAGTTTCATTTTGCGTTCTCTGTTGTGTTAAATAAAACCCAAGAAAAGACAGAGAAGGTGTTCTCCTCATTGTCAGCCTAGGTGCCACCGCACAGCTGGATAGTTAGATGTCCCAGTATAGGATAGGGTCAGACCGGCTCCGCTCATCTGAACCAGTGGAGCGCCACAATATGTTTCCCCAATACAAGTACATGTTTATTCAAGTGAATAACTGTAAAAATATTTCCATCCCTCTAAAACCATAACCCATTCTGTCCACATTTGATAACTGAGATAAGAAACACTTTTAAATTGTATTAATAAATATCAGTTGCTAAAATTGTGGAAGTGTATTTGACGGTAAACTACAAACCCGATTCTAAAAAAGTTGGGACACTGTACAAAATGTGAATAAAAACAGAATGCAATGATGTGGAAGGTTGAAATTCCAGTATTTTCTTCAGAATAGAATATAGATAACATATCAAATGTTGAAAGTGAGACATTTTGAAATGTCATGCCAAATAT